ACCAAGTTGCGAAAACAAGGTCAAACAACTTATATACAACGAAAGGAGACTGCGACCACACAAAAGGCCACACCATCTTGGTCTTCATACCTTCGATTAAACTATTGAGTTCATAGTTTAAAATGAAATAGTGTTATATAGATGGTATTAATAAGTAGGCAGTTGTTACTGCAAAAATGCTAATACCAGCTTATTCATTCATGAATAGCAGGGAGTAAAACTCTAAGGATATATATATCTATATATAATGAAGTTTATTCGTCATTTATTTCTTACAAAAGTTGTATGCTTAACCGGGGCTTTGAATTAATAAACAAAATTTATCAACATGCCTTGCATTGTTTCTGAGCCGAATGGAAGGCAAGCCTCAACGCAAGCATTACTGAAAAGGCCACCGAAGAATTCACTGATATCATCGTCATCTGTAGCTGTATTTACTGATACATAACCTGTCTGTTTGGATTGCTGAAAGGTACCTGCCTCATCTAAGAGATTTCCGGCTATCTCATTGCAGGGTTGAGAGCAGCCTTCTAAGAGTTCTTCAAGACCAACATCTGCAGTTGCTTTGCCACGATCCAATATCGATACTCGATGCTCAAGAACCGATTCATTATTTGAGTGAGAGAGACCGGTGGGCATGAGGAAAAATGGCTCAAGGAGATCTTCTTCGCGATAGCCGTCCAGATCATCGAACAAAGTCTGTGTGGCTGCTGAAGCAAGAGGGACAGTGGAAGTACTTGAATCAGCAGTTTGCATAAGGCCAAATGTACTTGTAGATATACTGGTACCCAGCCTTTGAGAAGGCATTTTTGCCATGTGTTGCAACGTCATTGTGGAAACCGAATTCTCACTGACTGGACAGGACTGTATAAAAGAAAGTCTGTCATTGGAGGGAGTAGCGATACCAGGGGAAAGACTAATACCAAAAATATCTTTATTATGAGCACAATCAAAATCAGTTTCAATGTCAAAACCAAGGACGGCATGTTCAGAGCTGCCAGTATCGGAGGATGACTTCAATTCACTGGACCTTTGGCAATTCAAAGTGGCTTCGGTCTGAGGGGAACGATGACTCATATACGTTTGAATGTCGCCAGCTTTTGTATGATAAGTGCATGTACCGGTGTGAATGCCTGCGTCAGCTACAGGATCAAGATTTGTCTGGCTGGCCCGACTCGACTAAGGGATTTAAATGAAAAATAAAATTGAACCATGACACTTGTCTGGGAAAAAATTAATTAATAATTCATATAATCATCGTCACTCTATAGCCATAAAATCGTAATGCAACCAACGTCACTCAATTGAATCGTCTTTTAATTCTATTTGTCATTTATTTCTTACGAAATTAGTGTGCTCAACCGGGGCTTTGAATTACATTGCATTCATTAAAAGCTAGGATTTTCCAAAATTTCCTAATTAGTTCCAAATATGTTTTTAAAAATATTATGAATCATGAATAGTAAGGGAAAATTAAATGAAAAATTGGCCAGAATAATTGCTTACTGAAAGTTTGAACAGCTTAGAAATGTGTGGAGACAAAAGTTGCATGAGGTCATCTTGAGAAGGGAGCTTTCCTAGTTTCAAGGCATCACGAATGGCATTTTCTAAGCCCTTCCAAGCTCCATCAATGAGAGACTTATTGCAAGATTGTGAAATGCCACAACAATTAGCAATCGAATGCGGCGATGAAGGGAAAACAGAGCCATTTACCACAAAAATAGGCAAAATCACTGGTTGCATCACCGAGGAAGGATCAGTCATTTTAGATTGACAATGCGCATTTATTGTAATAGACTTTGAAAAAACGGAGTGTTCACACGGCAATTCGCTCGTCTGGGATGGCCGCTCAAAGTGTTCACTGAATGATCTAGCAGGATAAGGTTGTAACAAACAAAGGCAATTATTGGCTACAAGTGGAAATTAATATTATAATAAAACACAATAGCAATAGTTCAAGAGGATTAAATGATGGAAACTTTCAAATAGATGAAGAACTCTGGCGAAGGGTAATCATTTTTATAAGAACTAAACGGTCTCCAAAGCATTTATGTGATTGCTTCATATGGCTGATGATGAACTAACAAGCAGAATGTAAATCCTGGGCAACGTTAGTGTGGCAACTCTCCAAGAGGATTCGAACCTGATCAATAGATACCAAGGCTAAAGATACCTGGTATCTCACAGCTCAGAGGCAAGTGATTTACTGGATATATAAACATAAATAAGTGCCAATAAAATTAATTGGTTGTCAACAAATAGGATCAGAATGCGAAAGATTTTATAAGAAAAAAAGTCGATATGCACCCATAAATTAAAAAATCAGTAAAGAGATAAAAGTTAGTTTTATCTCAAGGTCGTGAAAAAGTGATGGCAATGGTGTATATGGTCTGACAATATACTTGTTCGCAAAGTGAAAAAAGACTTGATTTATCAATGAGTTCGTCGTTCGGTTTAAATATTACTAACAGTGGCAAGACAAATTTAGGAGTAAAATGACGTGAAGTAGAGCTCAAATCAGTACTTATTTATATATAAATATTTACTAGGAAAAATTGGACGGCGCGAGCAAGCTTATGTCAAAAATCTTTATATTTCTTACTGACTATGCCTTAAATAGATTAATAGGAAAATACAGAATGCATAGATAAGTCTTGCTATAAGTTTAAACGCCCATCATAATTGAGTATGTACTCGTAGAGGCTCATAAAAATTACCTTGAAGTTAGTGTTTAAATAAAGACCACTAGGAATTGTTTACTAGAAATTTGTTAATGCAGCCTGCAATCAGCTACCAAGTATTAACCATTGATTTTAATTAGTTTGATCATGACAATCAGTGGCTAGTTCTCTGCATAAAAACTTACTTGGGTAGACATAATTAGAGCATAAAAGTGTTTAGAATTGAGATACTATTAGGCTATATCAAAAAATGGAAAAAAAGAAAGGCGCAGAACCTTTTTCAAGGAGTAATCAGTTCAGAAGTTGAATAAAAGAATAAATTACTGGGGAAGAAACAATCTGGGAAACTTGCTTGATAGTGCCTAAATTATCGTAGGCGAGTAACTTTTACAACAAACCTGAGCACATTCTAGACAGGTAGAGAAAATGATAAAACGCAAAGCATTTAGCTTATAGAGTAATTTCCAGCTAATCATATTGTCTTGGCTAATATTTTGCCAAATAT